GTGTCCGAGCGCTCATCGCTCAGCAGCTCAGCCAGGGGCGTGTCCACACGTCCACCTCCAAGTAACTGGGTCTGCCTCGCTGGAGCTTAGGGACACGTCGCCAGGAGTGGTTATGGCCTAACCGCCTGCGTACTCAGTTCCCAGTGGCTGCAAGAAAGCCGGGGGCCTCAGTCCCTCATAAAATGGGGGCAAGGGAACGCCGGCAGGCTAGCGACTCCCCCCATTCTCCTTTCAGGGCACTGGGAGGCCGCGGCCGGCCGTCTGCGTTTGCTCGCCCGACTCTTACTGTTCAAGGGGATGCTTCCTGGGGGGCTGACTCGGGGTCTCCAAGGTCAAAGTGCAAAGCAAGTTGACGGGAAGGAAACCAGTGCTCCTGGATCTGCGTCTCGGGGGACAGGGCAGAATAAAGGCAGCCTGAGAGGGGGACACGGAGATGCCACGCCCCCCCGGCCCCCCATCCCGTGTCTGACTTCTGCCGCTCGGATCTCATCTCCACGGGATTGGGGGGGGGGCGTGGCAGGACCCTGGCACTGTGGAACACAAGCGCTCCCCAACTCCCCAAGGTTGAGACACACCCCTTCCCCGCTGAGTTTGAACCCATGATCTTACAGGAAGAGCCTTTTATTTCATTCGGTTCCCAGGCCGTCTCCTAAAACAGTCTACGGAACGCACAATATACCCCACACCTAGTGACAACTCTGGGCAGAATCGTTTCATCTGCCGCCACCGCCGCCTGGGTGACATGGCCGCGCTGGGGCCACATGCGGACGCCCGGCCTGCTGTGCAGGACACACCGTCCTGATGAGAGAATGCGCTCACGCGTGCGCTCTGAGGGGCGGCAGGAGTGGAAATGCCACGGGGACAGGCTCTTGCTGTGGGCAGGCCCACTGTCGGTCCTTCTCGCCCCCCTGCCGCCCCAACAGAGGCTCATCAGCAAATACTTGTTGAATTAAACTCTGTTCCTCACTAATCTGTTCCGCGAACACTCAGAGTACCTGCTCAGCATACGGACCCGCTGGCAGAGGGAGCGTCCTGGGCTGAGTTCCAGTCCGTGGGGAAGTCAGAGTAACAGAGACCGTGACCAGGACTCACTAGGACCGGCCCCGCCCGGGGAGACGGCACCGAGCCTGATGCCCAGGCCCTCCAGGATGGGGACGGTCCCCTGCGTGGTCCAGGCGACCAGAGATGCCGGGGAAGGACCCACGCCAGGCGTACGGCCACCAAACCCAAGGGCATGGCCACGCTCAGCGACACCACAACCGCTCGTGACGGTTCGGTCCTGACCGGCGCAGGATTCCTATTTGCCTATCGATTCAAAACTGGAAGCGTCCGGCGTGTCTACGGGAGGGGTGCTTCTTTCTAGAAGCCTCTGAAAACCACAGGATGGTCAGCGCCACCACAACGCAGGCGTGGGATGCGGCCACGCGGGAGGTGCAGCGGGGCGGGGCGGGGCGGGGCCTTTACCTGCGGGCTTCCGCATTTGACAAGAATCCTCCTGTGCGGCCCAACTTTTGAGCCTCTGAGGGGGGAGCGGAGGGGAACTCCTTTTCCTGATGTGAAAACAGCAGCTTAGAGAGGTGGCCCCGGACGCCCAGGCCCGGCAGGCGGCAGCGAAGGGCGGGGACCCTGATCTCTGGTGAGTGGCCTGGCGCCTCTCCCTTCATCGGCGGCTTCCCTGATGCAAACCGCAGGTTGCCACCCCTTTTCTCGTGCTGGATGCCGACCTCACAGCCAGCGCAGCTCAGACCTGGCCGGGCCAGAGTCATTCCTCGCTTTCCCCGGTGCGCAAACCTCTCCCGTCAGCACAGAGCCACCGCCACACGGGGCCAGGTCATTAACACCAACTCCCGCAGCAAGTGGAGAACACACCTCCAGGCCACGAGCGAATCGGACGGCATGTGTGTGGCCCCAGCTCACACCGGGAAACTCCACACACGTGTTCCTTCCGGAAGAATCTCACCGCCCGCCAGCGACAGAAAGCCGGGAGGAAGAAGCCAGTGACTTCACAGCCCACGGGCTGCCTGGCTCCTCCTGCTTGCTTCTTACCTTAAAACGCGGTTCTCAACCTGTGGGTCGTGACCCCTTTGGCGGTTGAACGACCCTTTCGTAGGGGTCGCCTAAGACCATCCTGCATATCAGATATTTACATTACGATTCATCATAGTAGCAACGTGACAGTTATGAAGTAGCAACGAAAATAATTTTATGGTTGAGTCACAACATGAGGAACTGTATTTAAAGGGCTAGAAGGTTGAAAACCACTGCCTTAAAACGATCGAACACAGTGGTTCTCAACCTTGGCTGCACATTAGAATCACCTGGGGATCTTTTTAAAATCCTGATTTCCGGGCCTCGTCCTCCGGAAAGTCTGTTTCTTTGTTACTCATGTTGTGGCCCCAACCCATCACAAAGAAACAGAATTTTCAGAGATGAGGCCTGGAAATCAGGATTTTAAAAAGATTCCCAGGTGATTCTCACGTGCAGCCAAGGTTGAGAACCACTGATCTAACACCACACGGGAAATCAAAATCCTTTGCCTAATCTTCCCCAGCCGCGTGGCCTAGAGGCGAGCCCGCCGCCCTGTGTGACCAATACGGCAGGAACAACAGACGGGCAGACGTCCACCTCCAGGCAGAAGCCGCGCCTGTATTTGAAATGTCTATGAAACATTTAAGACGGACTCTATACAGTGCCACCGAGAAACAAACATAAAAACAGAGGCTCTCAACTCCCACAAGAGCAGACACCACACAGGCCACATCCTCGAACTGCAGCGCAACCAATCCATCCGCACGAGCGCTCAACCAACAGCCACTTGGAAGTGAAGACCCTCCGGCCCCTTTGCCGTTAAGAACAAACAGACCCTTCAATACAGAGGCTGCGAGACAGGGACAGAGGGAAGAGCACTGGGGGTGTTGAACTGACGCTCAGCAAAGAGACAGTTTAATTACAATTATTAAAAAGGTTACTCAAGCAACATCGTAAAACACAGAGGCTCCTGGACAGCAGGCCAGAAACAGAGGCGCCGTGGCCACCGGCTCCCCTCCGCACCCCAGCTGCACCTTTTAAGATGATGACGACGAACTTTAACTCTCTTCTTAATCTTTTATTTGTTTTATCATTTTAAATATTTTTACAGATGTCAGAGAGGAGGGGGGAGAGAGAGAGAGAGAGAGAGAGAAACATCAATGACGAGAGAGAATCACTGATCGGCTGCCTCCTGCACACCTGCTACTGGGGATCGAGCCCAGAACCCGGACATGTGCCCTGAGGGGGAATCGAACCGTGACCTCCTGGTTCGCAGGTCGACGCTCACCCGCTGAGCCACATGGCAGGGCCGCTCTCTTTTTCATATTCTGGCTTCCTGAGCAGATCTGCAGCTGCCTTGCTCAGTGGCAGCTACTCAATAAATACAGGGGGTCCCCAAAAAACGTATGCACACTGTAACAGCTGATAGCTCCATTTTGAAAATTAAATGTATTTTAACAAGCACTGCCTTTATAAATATTCAAAGCATGTGTATACTTTTTGGGGGACACCCTATGTTCATAGAATAAATGAACTTAAAAACATACATTTTTATATATCCATATATATGGGTTGGCTAAATACCTAACACAATGGAATATTATATAGGCATTTTAAATGGTGAAACACAACCACATGTATTCACGTGGAAACATTTTTCATAACCTCATAGTTAACTCAGATTACAACATAATTTACAAAGAAGAAACACATGGTTTTCCCCCTGTCCTCTCTCCTGCACACATACAATGTTTAAAAGTCTGTTTACACCTGGCTGGTGTGGCTCAGTAGATAGAGCATCGGCCTACCGACTGAAGGGTCCCAGGTTTGATTCCTGTCAGGGGCACATGCCCAAGTTGCAGGCTCGATCCCTAGTAGTGGGTGTGCAGGAGGCAGACAATCAATGATTCTCTCCCATCACTGATGTTTCTATCGCTCTCTCTACCTCTCCCTTCCTCTCTGAAACCAATAAAAATATATTTTTTAAAGAAGTCAGTTTACAAATGACAGTAAAAAGAACTATTACGGTCATGGAGTAACTTGCTATATGTCTATGATATGAGAAAAGAGGAACTTTTTTCCCGACCATCCATTAACTGGCTTTTGCTTCAAAGCCGGGTAAGTGCTGCCAGGCTCACTGCCCGCCGCCCGTGGGCAGTGACCGCAGTCCCTGGCATCCCTGCCCGAGCCGGCGGCCGTTCTCCACCTGGCCCACTGTCCACGATCTCGGCCAGCCGTCCGCCTGAGATTCAACCGGGAATCAAAGCAGCTCCACCTGTCAGCGCCTGTGCCTTCCGCGCGGCACCTAAGGACGCTCCCCCTGTCCCACCCTCCGGTTGTGAGTGCGGACCGCCCGCCACAGGGAAGCGGGGTTCCTAGCGGGAAGGGCACCAGCACGTTTTCAGCGCCCGAAAGGGAATTTACTGCATCTACCTCCCCTGCACAGCCCACAACACAGCTAAGGGTGCAGCCGGCAGTCATCGCCCGCCTGGCGGGTCTGTAGGGCCCCGGGAGTCCACACTCAACATCCTGGTCTGGAAAGAGGAGGGAAGCAAACCTCTTCACCTGGCAGGACAGCGCCTGGGTCCCGAGCAGGTCCGGCCACACACGGTCCCTTGGCAGAGGAGGCAGGGCCCCGGGCCGCGGCCCTGGCAGGGAGCAGGCGAAGGAGGAAATGGTTCCGAGGCGTCCTCTGGATTCTCCCCAGCGCGCGGCTCGCCACCTTGGAGGAGGAATGTCACCCTGACTCCCTTCTTCAAAGGCAACGGGGTGGC